TTCCATTTCGCGAGGTTTTTGGTGGTGTTAGATGTAATTTAAAGGAGGCAGTTGAGATGGCCGGCCTACCATGGCAAGGCCGTGCTACTGCGGCCGGATGATGCTAAAAAACACGCTCGCTTACTTGCACTCCTCATGCACAGGGGTTTCAAATTCTCATTACAAACTCCTTGATGTGGCAGGCAACTGATGCTTCACTGGCATGTACTCAATTCCCTGAAAGCATGCCGTGTTCCCTCATCAAGTACATAAACCAAAGGACCTGCATGTTCTCCAATTCCAGTATCACCCTTATTGTTTCTGTGGGGTGAAGAGCAGCAAGGGGATGGTTCGGAAAACTGGACGAAACAAGGCAGCGTCTTCTTTGGTTGCGGGAACTGGACTGTGCACAAGAGGTGCCGCTGCCATTACTTTGAATGGGCTACTCCATGACTCAAAAACTACAGAGGAATCAAGGAGTGAGTTCTCTATCCTTCTCTTGATGACATCTTAAACTTTGATGAGATGTCTTATGTAAAAAATGAAAAAAAAGGTAGTGGGTTGTTGTCTCCTAATTGAAGCAAATATTTATTTGCCTTAGCCATATGGTGGTGAGGTTTAGGCTTCATGGGAAAACGCATATTAATGGTTGGGTGAATTGCAGAAGGTGAAAGATTGAAGTAGTTTTTCTAAGGGAGGTTCAACTGTAAAGTGACTTCCTGTGACAAAAGGTAACGAAATGGGAATGTGAGGATTCGGGTAGTTAGGATGATGATACTTTTTACATCTTATTAAATAATCTTGTGAGAAAGGGACTTTTGCTTTCCTATGCATTTCTAATGGAAATTTAGTGGAGTGGCTGCACTTGCACCCAATTTGCTCTTTTTTTTTTTTTTTTTTTTTTTTTTTTTTTCACTCTTTTAGTCGGAAAAGGTTATCTTGCCAGATGTCGTTAAGTTACCTGGCAGTTCAGTTCTTGGATCTTGTTCAAGGCAATGGGTGAAATTGGGGGTAATACGTTGGAGCTGTAGTGTTCCTAATTTAGCTTTTCAACGATGTCGGAAGTCTAGATCCGGCCTCTTGATGCTCTTGGGCAGTCTCACGGCTAGATATGGCTTTGCTTTACTCTATGAAGGGTTTTAGAGGTTTTTTCGCCCCCACTCTTATTTTAGATAGAGCTATAATATTATTACAAAAATTATTAACTATTTTTAAAAAAGGTTCGTAGACATGTTCATTATTTTGCTTAAGATCTAAAAACTTTGGCCCCATTTGATATAGAATTTAAATAAACACTAGAAAAACGTTTGATCGAAATTGAAAACCGTTTTAGTTCAATTTTAGAAACTAATAAAACATCGTTTTCTTAGTATTCTATGAAGTTGTATCTATTTGTATTCCTGGCAAAAATCTTTATTTCCTTTCTATAAAATCTATTAATATATAACTACTTTTATGTTCTTCTAATCAATTAAAACTCTGATTTCTCATTCTACATAGCCGTTGTTGTTCTCTCATCTCTGACTTTATTTCACACTCTCAAACTGATCCAACGTATGTTATGCTTATATTTACAGTGTTTGAAAACAGTTTTTAAATATTATGTCAAAGGCATTTTCAAAAATTAAAATTATTAAGAAAACAACTCATATATTTGGATTTTATCCTTGTTTATGAAAACTGTTTTGAAATCGCGAATCAAATGCGGCCATTTTCCTTGCAAGTTCATTAATTGGTTGAGTTCTTTCTTATTTAATCTAAAATCACTTAATTTTTATTTAATAATTAAAATAGGTGACAAGTTAAATGAATATTGAATTAAGGGCAAACATAATCATAAATTTTAATTTGATAATTTCAAGGGTTTGTAGTGCGAAGTTGATGGGATGGTACACTTATTTGTGGATGTGTCTAGATTATTTATGCATTAAAAATTCCAAGATAAATGAATATTAGCCTATAGTGATTCTTTAGTCATTTGTAAAACAAGACCATAACCTCAATTATTATTAATTTATTCGGATAAATGGTTCAACAACAAGGCTAATTCCATATCAAAGGAGGCTATAATATATCAACTTAAAGTCTTGTCTGTCTAGTTTCTAATACTTCAATATGTTCATCAATTGGACTTTTATTAAGCAACTTATGGCCAATTTACTACTGACTGTGTAGGGAAAACTAAAGTAACAGAGAAAAACGAAATGTTTGTGTATTTTGATGATAGAAACATCCTTGGTTTAATTCCATTCCAACACAAGATTTTTTTCCCTATAAACAACAACAATAACAAAAATTAATTGATTTTGATATTAACATTGTGAAGAGATACGCTTATTGAATTGTTGAGACCAACCGTATTGTTGAAACCAAGTAACATAATGTAGCAATAGGCGATCGATAATGTCATGGTGGAATGCTATCATATCAAATAAATATAGATAGATATTTAATGAGAAGGTGAAACGTTTGTATTTATGTGAACATGAAAGGATAAACATGAATCCATAGATCTTCTTATTTGAATAAACAAAGTTTTAAGTAGACTTTTGGGATGCCACTATTTGATAGCATATCTTTTCGATAAGAATGTGAAGGGTTTACAATTATCCAAATTCAGTATAAAATATATCAAATTAAAGTCATGTTTGTCCAGTTTCCAAACCAAATAACATAATGCGACAATAGGCGACCAACGATGTCATGGTGGAATGATATCATATCACATTTTCAATAGTTCGGCAGCACAAGATCATAACCTCAATTATTATTAACTTATTCAGATAAGGCAGATTCCATATCAAAGGCAACATATAATATATCACATTAAAGCGCAATATGTTTGTGTCTTTTGGTGTGTAAAACGTTAATTGTGTCTTTTAGTGTGTAAAACGTCCTATAAACGTGGATAGCATTAGAGTTGTGGGCAGATAACTCTTGTTTATCTTTGCTTACAAACATTCCTTTGTTTGATTTGACAATAATATAAGATTACGGGAATGTTTTATTCCCAATAATGAATACTGTTGGTGATTTTGGGGGTTATTAGATTACCTAGTCTAGGGGTGTTAATCTTTTTTTACCGGGGTTATCTTTTTTTTTCACCAAATTTGCCGTTAAATAAAAGCCATTCAAACTGAATTGCCTTCAAATGTCTACCAAATAACAATTACCCAAACCCCTTACATTTGATACTTTAGCTAAAACACCCTAGCCACAAAAAGTTTAAAAGTTAACAAAATACCCGCATCCACCAAAGACCACTGTCGGTTGCTAGCCACCATCGTCGGCCACCGATAATAGTTGCTAGATCGACACACGACCAGTAGGATTTGGCTGGTCGTGCGTCGATCTGACTGTTTTCGACCATATTGAAGGTCGAAAATGGCTAGATCGTTGTGCTTTTGGCCGTTTGTGGCCGTTTTCGGCTAGATCCATGACGATCTAGCTGTTTTTGGCCTTAATCTAGTTGGAAACAGCCAAAACGACACACTGTCAGCCAAATCTAACCAGTTATACGCCATTCAAGTGATTGTCGCTAGCAGCCGTCGATAGTGGCTGATGGTCGGGGGTGGTCTTGGGTGACTGGGGGTATTTTGTTAAAATTTAAACTTTGTTGTTAGATGTTTTAGCTAAATTCTCAAATATAGGGGGTTAAAAGAATTTATTTAATAATAATAATAATAATATTATTATTATTATTATAATGATATTAAAAAGGAAGGGTAATTCAGTAAAAGCTTATGTCGATAATATTTTATTCTTCCCAACCAAACATCTTAATTATTTATACCCACTAATCTAACAAAACATATTGATATAACATTCCCACGTAATCTTCAAGGTAATCCATCTCTCTGGTAATCTTTCATTTTCAGCAATAAAATATTCTCCGAACCAAACATACCCTAGATGTTCTTAAATTTGACTCTTGAGTTTTCTTTTTAGTAGTAATATGTGTCATTAATACTAACAAATATCAAACTCCAATTACATTAAGTCACATGTAACCAAAAGAGTAATGTTATGTGCACTAATCAAATTGTACTAATTCAAGTACTAACAATTGAAATTTTGAAATTTTTTTTTTTTTAGTTTTTGGGAGAACTGACGTGACAATAAGAGAGGTTTGCCACGTCAGTTAGTACTTGGATTAGTATGGTTTTGGTTAGTGCACACGGCATTATTCCAACCCTAAAGACATCAAAAACCCTGCGATATAAAAGCCTTTTGTTGCAGATAGCCTTATTCCAACCCTAAAGACATCAAAAACCCTGCGATATAAAAGCGCCTTTTGTTTAACTTCCATCGAACAAAAACCCCTGCAAAACCCTCCATTTCGAAACTACAAAAGAGCTTTCAGAAGGATTGTAGGAAGACAATTGAAGCTAAAGACGATGGTGAATAAGAAACAAGCGGCGGACTTCGAGCCATTGCACCAGTTAGTGAGGCACCACATAGAGTCCTTCGATTACATGGTGGATGAAGGTTTGAATGAGATGCTCGATCGCATCAAGCCTATCATCGTTCACGATTCTTTCACCAATAAGAAGCTTAAAAATATCCTTTCTTTTCATTTCTTTATTGGGAAGTTAATTGACGCAAAACGTTATTGTTTGTTTTATTTTATTTTATTTTTATGAACTGTTGTCAATTTTGAAAGGTTTGGAACAAAAATAAATAATTGAAGTGATTTTTGTTCAAGAGCTGAAATTGTTTTTGTTTTGAGAGGAATGCTTTGTCGGCGAGATTGCTTTTGAAGAAAAGAAATTAGAGTGTTTTCTTAAGATAAATTGACAGTTGAAGCGCTTTTTAAACAAGCCCTTATTCTGGAACATTTCCTTTTTATTAGAAAAGCACTTGAAGTAGTTTTTAGAAGAAGAAGAATTAGTGCTTTTCTAGGTAGCTGTATTAAAAATTTTAGCTTTCTAAAATTTGGCTTTAGTGTTGGTAAAGATATAAAAGTAGTTGAAGTGCTTGATGGTGAAAAAGTTCTTATTGCATGACAAAGGGCAAAGGTGTTGAAGTAGTTTCGAGGAATATTTCAAGGGTGCCTTTTGACAAGTGCTTTGTTCTGGACAAGTACTTTCTGGATAGAAAAGGCGCTTCAAGTAGTTTTTGGACTACTTCCTTGGTGCTTTTTGAGGAAGTTCTGTTGAAGAAATGCAATTGTAGTAATTCTGTAATGTTTGGCTGAAATGCAGTATTATTTCATTTTAGTGTGTGTTTTTTCTTGACTAATAGCCTTACTATCAGTGGGTAATCCTGAAATATTTCCACCTCAAAAGGAACACGGCTCCAAATCAATGCGTGACGTGTTACTCCCTTTCGAAGTAAAAGAAAACTGCTATCTCTCTATTTTCTTTAATATATAATTTTATTTTTTTAATTTTAAGAAGTAAATTAATTGGCAGTTTTTGTTTTCTGGAAACAGTGTCGACAGGCTAAAATATCATATACCGGCAAGTTAATGGTGATGTTGAATTTCAATATGATGACTCTGCAGTTATAAGAGAGAAATTCAATTTTGGGCAATTTCCTATAATGTTAAAGGTTGGTGCTCTTTGCTCTGTCTCTAAATTTTCTATTTGTTTTGTCTTCTGTGAAGCGTAGACATATTTTGTTAAATGTCTTGACAGTAAATGCATAAAGAATGATATTTTAGTTGTATATGAAAGTAAAGGGTTTTTAGAGAGTTCAAACGTAGATGTCATACACTCATACCGGTGGCAAGGTCCGTACTATTCATCAGCATTATTCTTTTAATTAGAAATGTTTCTCATTTGCTATGAAAAACTGGCTCATAGTCTCAAAATGCAGATGGTAAATAAAACTGAATTTCTATATAGGTTTTAAAGCTAGCTGCATCAAAGGTTGTTTCTTCAAACACTGTAGCAGTCCTTTTTTGTATTGTTGGGTACCCTTGTCAAGAAAGACCATAGGCAAATTCTTTATAGCTTTGCTTCGAGGGATAGCAGTTTGCCTCTAACCAGGTTATGGCGATATGTCATCAGTATGTTTCAAAGCACAGCTTGCACCTGATGAGTTAATGACCCTAGATAGGCACATTATTGTAAAGAACTATATATATATATATATATATAATAGTAAGTTTATGTGTGTTTGTCTCCTGTACTTGGTCATTTATCTTTCCCTCAATTTTTTTTCTTATTTGTTAAACCTTGTTGTTTGTGGCATCATTTGTTTGTGAAATTCAATCTCATTATTCTTGAAAGTATTGCTACAAATAAATATGTGTTATTACATGTAATGCATTTTTGCATACACAAGCCTGAACGTCTGATTGATAATCATTTGCTTACACAAGACAATAGGAGGCTGGTTATTATCTACATAAAACACTCTATATTTAATTTAGTTTGGTGTGACCACTGAATTTTTCTTGAGTGTGTTGTCACAATTGATGAGTTGAGTACTTTATGCAGTCTAAACGTTGTCATCTACGAGATGCTGATCCCCAAAAATTAAAATCTTTCAAGGAGGAGGCATCAGAAGTTGATGGGTAAGTGATTCAATGTCTTCCATAGTAATCACATATATGGTATCCTTGTTTTACTGGTTTTTGTATTTGGATTTGATTATATTGAACCTTTTCATGACATGGTGTTTGGCCTCTCTTGACTGAATTTTCTTGATTGCATATGAGAAGCTAGTAAAAGATACTGATCTGGAAATGCTTTCATTATATTGTTATGTCTCTATAGATATAGAGTTGCATGATGATGTTGATTGGAATTTTAGAAGTAATTTGTATAATAAACCCAAAGATAATTTTTGTAGTTGTGCGGAGATGTTTTTATCTGAGTGAAATCGGAATGCTATAATAGAAGTAGTAAAAGGTTAATATGAATTTTATCTTCTTTCATAGTAAATCTTGCATTGCTTCCAACTGCCAGTTATATTTGCTTTGAGTTCAGGCGGTATTTTCTTTTCATATTTTGCTTGATTACGGTATTTGAGTCCCTTCTGATGTGCCAAGGATTAGATGAAAGACACTTGCTTTTCTTTTATTTTTTTAATCACTGCATTCTTTATTTAATTTGTTTACCTTTTAAATTGTTATGTAGTTACTAATTCATTCTGAATGGGCTGGAGAGAGTTTTTCGAGCTGTAATATTACCGAAGCAAAACTTCGTAAGTAGGCCTTTTTGTTCTTAAATATAGTTATGATGGTAAGCAGATGTAAAGATTTGAACTTTGGGTGACGAACCTCATTAACCAATCGGTAGTATTTTGTGGTTAAGCAATGTTGTAATTTTTCATGCAGCTATGACCAAATTTTCTTTTGTTTTGTATTTTTGTATATTGCATGGCTGATCTGAATTTTTTCTTTCTATTTCAGCCAATGAGTATGGTTCGGAATTCCTTTCGTGATCGGCGAGAAGGATATACTAATAAAGCAGATGTCTTGAGGTTCTATTCCTATATTCTACTTAGAAACACTTTTGGGACTGAATGAAGCTAAGAACTTGGGCTGATAAAATTATTTACGTTCTGTTATGTCTCAAAAGTCAAGCCTATGTCAGCACAATTAATATCTCTTTGTACTAGCTGCCAAGCCCATATTTTCAAAGATATTCTCACCAATTTTATCTCATTTCAAAGAGATGAATGGACGAGAGTCTTCCATGTGTCAAGGTAACTTGCAAAACACTCATTACATTGAGTGTTTAAGTGTATAAATGGGCACTCTTCCCGAAGAAATAGTGTATGAAGCGCTATTTCCAGATTTTGACCCTCTTTCCAAGGAATAGCGTATGAAGCGCTGGCTGCCTTAAAACAAACAACCACGGTGACTGAATATAGGGAGGAATTTGAAGCTTTTTCTGCACCCTTGAAGGATCTGGAAGAGGAGATGCTTATGGGACTTTTTGTGAATGGGCTTAAGGAAGATGTAAAGGCTGAGTTAAGATTAATGAGGCCCAATAGCATAAGTGAAGTCATTGAGCAAGCCTATAGAGTAGAGGAAAGAAATTGGATTTTAGAAAAAAGGAGGCCCAAAGTAATTAAAAATCAAATGGGAAGAGAAGCTTACAATCGGGTCACTATTAACCAAGAAAATGCGCAACCTGGGTGGTGGTCTTCGCATGTTAAAACACCAGAAACCCATTTCTCCTCCAATGTCAGGCCACCCGAGAGGAGAGAGAGGCCATTGGAAACGACCATGTCAAGCTTCAGAGGGGACAACTTCCGACGGCTTACTGAATCCGAGATCCAGCACAAGCGAGAACGTGGATTATGTTTTAAGTGTGACGAAAAATACAGCCCCACCCATAAATGCAAGAGTAAATCGCTGCAAATCCTTCTTGCTTGGGATGAGGACGAGATGAAGGAAGACACACCTGAACAGAACGTAGAAAAGGAAGCCAATACATATGGTAGCCCACTTGCCTTATCAATGAACTCCATTGTTGGTATTACTACAGATAAAACATTGAAGATTAGAGGAAAAATTGGTGAGGAGGAGGTTATAGTATTGGTGGACATTGTAGCATCGCACAATTTCATTTCACAGGAGTTGGTTAACAAATTGGGTATTGCGGTAGATAAAGGCATGACTTTTGGGGTGATGGTGGGAAACGGAGTGACAGTAAGGGGCGAAGGTATATGCACAGGGGTGAAATTAGAGATACAAGGAGTAAAGATACAACAGGACTACTTCCCATTTGATTTAGGAGGGGCTGACGTGGTACTCGGGGTGTCTTAGTTGAGTTCTCTGGGGGACATCTGTGCGAATTGGAAAAAATTAACTATGGTCTTTGAGATGGAAGGGAGACGTGTGATGTTACATGGAGACCCCTCATTGGTGAAAAAGGTTGTATCTCTTAAAGCCATGTTGAAAACAGTTCAGGTAGCGCGAAACGGGTATTTGGTGGAATTCTGTTTGATCGAGTATAAACCAGAAGTCAAAGAAGAACCGCAGGAACCAAGAGTGGCTAGAGTCTTGGAGGAATTCCAACAATTATTTGACCAACCTTCTAGCTTACCTCCCCATAGAAAAAATGATCACACCATATTGTTAAAGGAAGGCGCGCAGGCTCCGAACATCAGACTGTATAGATACCCGTATTTTTAGAAAAATGAGATCGAGAGGTTGGTTGGCGAGATGTTGGCAGCTGGAATCATCCAACCCAGCACCAGCCCATTTGCAAGCCCTGTGTTATTAGTTAAGAAGAAGGATGACAGTTAGAGGTTTTGTGTTGACTATAGGACCCTCAATAGTATCACCATACTCGATAAATTTTCTATACCAACCATCGATAAGCTATTAGATGAGTTAGTAGGAGCCACAATATTTTCCAAACTGGATTTAAAATCAGGGTACCATCAGATTAGAATGAAGGACGAGGATGTACCAAAAACAGCTTTTCGAACTCATAAGGGACACTATGAATTTTTAGTGATGCCATTTGGTTTGACTAATGCCCCATCCACCTTCCAAGCCCTTATGAACACCATCTTTAAACCTGTCCTCCGAAAATTTGTCTTAGTTTTCTTTGATGACATTTTGATCTATAGTCCAAACTTAGAAAGCCATATACAACACCTATCCCAAGCATTTAACATTCTGCAAGCTCATGACTTGGTAGTTAATTGGAAAAAATGCTCGTTTGGGCAGAAGAAGCTGGAATACTTGGGTTACTTGGTGTTCGAAAAGGGAGTAGAAGCAGATCCATAGAAACTAGAACCTATGAAATCATGGCCCATTCCGACTTCCGTTAAGAGTTTGAGGGGATTTTTAGGACTCACTGGTTATTACCGCCGATTTGTGTAAGGGTACGGGAACATAGCTCTTCCGTTAACCCAATTACTCAGGAAGGATGCTTTTCAGTGGACAAAAAAGGCCTAACAAGCTTTTGAGCAACTGAAATCAGCCATGGCTACGGTTCCGGTATTAGCAGCCCCCAATTTCAGCATTCCCTTTGAAATCACAAGAATGTTCGAGGAAAGGGCTTGGGGCGATGTTGGTTCAGTAAGATCGTCCTATTGTGTTTCTAAGCAATGCTTTCTCCCCAAATGCCAAGCAAAAATCAGTGTATGAGAGGGAACTCAGGGCCATCGTGTTTACGGTACAAAAATGGAGTCACTATGTATTGGACAGTAAATTTATCATTAGGACAGATCAGAAAAGCCTTCAGTTCTTACTTGATCAGTGTATGAAGACTCCAGAACAGCAGAAATGGATTTCCAAGCTCATGGGGTTCACCTTTGAGATACACTACTGCCTTGGCCATAAAAATAAAGTTGCAGACGCCTTGTCCCGTAGAGAAGAGGAAGTGAGTACAACACAGTCACCCTGGTACAGTTTACGGACTTCGAGTCTCTAGCTGAAGAAGCCCACAACGACCCCAAGTTATGCACTATCATTCAGGATCTTTTATTAGACCCAAGTAGTAGACCATATTATGAACTCCGTAGAGGATGTCTGCTGTACAAAAAAAGGTTAGTACTTCCTAAAAACTCCAGCTTTATTCCCAAACTGTTAAAAGAGTTTCATTCTAGCCCTAGAGGGGGTCATTCGGGTTTTTTAGAACATACAAAAAGGTGGCAGGTGTGGCGTTTTGGAGAGTATTAAGAAGGATGTTTAGAATTTTATTAGGGCTTACACTATTTGTCAAACCAATAAGTACACAGCATTGAAACCAGCAAGCCTACTTCAACCATTACCAATTCGTAACCAAGTTTTTGAGGATCTTACGATGGATTTTATTGGGGGGTTACCTAGGTCTAAAAGCTTTGATACCATTTTTGTAGTGGTGGATAGACTAACCAAATACAGTCACTTCATCCCCCTTTCCCAACCTTACAATGCAAAGGAAGTAGTAGAAATCTTTGTGAAGGAAGTAGTTAAATTACATGGTTTTCCAAAATCGATAGTATCGGACCGGGATAGGGTGTTCATGAGCCATTTTTGGCAAGAATTATTCAAAACAGCCGATACCACATTGAAATTTAGTTCCGCCTATCATCCGCAGACGGATGGCCAAACTGAGGTGGTAAACCACTGTATGGAGACATACCTTAGATGTTTTTGTTGTTCTCAACCTCGGCAATGGCACAAATGGTTACCAAGGGTTGAATTTTGGTACAACACTACGTACCACAGCTTCACTAAGATGACTCCTTTCCGAGCCCTCTATGGGAGGGATCCACTTCTATTGTTGAAGCTTGTGGACTGCCCTTCTTTAGTAGAAGACGTCAATAGACAGATTGAGGAGAGGAACACCATCCTGCTTGAGTTAAAGGAAAACTTGTTGGTGGCTCAAAGCCACATGAAAGAGGCAGCATATTCCCATCGCAGAGAGCTGTCTTTTCAGCCAGGGGACTTTGTCTTTCTCCGATTACAACCCTACAAATTCATATCTTTAGCCAGGAAGACCAATGAGAAATTGAGCCCTAGGTTTTATGGTCCCTTTGAGGTGATAGAAAAGATAGGCCAAGTTGCATACAAACTTGCCTTCCCACCCACAGCCCGTATCCACCCAGTTTTTCATGTATCCCAACTCAAGAAGAGCATCCACAGCTTAGTCCCCACCCAGCCTTTACCTCCAGCATTGACTGAAGAGTTAGAACTATCAGTCCAACCTGAATTTGTTCTCTCCTCT